AAAATGTGCGCCTTCGCCTGTAAACTGTGTACCGTCTTCGTGTGTAAAATGTGCGCCTTCGCCTGTAAACTGTGTACCGTCTTCGTGTGTAAAATGTGCGCCTTCGCCTGTAAACTGTGTACCGTCTTCGTGTGAAAAATGTGCGCCTTCGCCTGTAAACTGTGTACCGTCTTCGTGTGTAAAATGTGCGCCTTCGCCTGTAAACTGTGTACCGTCTTCGTGTGTAAAATGTGCGCCTTCGCCTGTAAACTGTGTACCGTCTTCGTGTGTAAAATGTGCGCCTTCGCCTGTAAACTGTGTACCGTCTTCGTGTGTAAAATGTGCGCCTTCCTATAGCGTTTTTTTCGATCATACCTCTCCTTTTAAATTTGCTTTTTGAAAATTTTTCCATGCACCGATTTCTTTGGTGTTTCGACCAGTATTAAAGCATTGACCAAAGTTTTGTTTGGTATAATATTTAGCTCCATCAACGTTACCTAGGCAACGGAAATCGCATTTTGTCGAAATTCGTTTTTGCCAAATATTAAAAAAAACTGATGAAATCCAGAAAAGCGATAGACATCATCATTAATTTCAAACTATTGCACAACGTTTCGTAATAGTGAAAACAAATTTTGAAATTTCACGTGACTTTTTCAAACTACGATGAGACGATAATCTGCAAGGTAAGACGCCTAATGCCAAGTTTTCTGCCTCGTGAATTATGTTTCAAGAAATCCCTAATACGTAGTTTTATCTAAAACCGATCACCGGCCAGACATCAGGAGGAGTCGACAACCGGGACTGTTCTTCTAAACAACTGTTCTTATACGATTTTTCTGCTAGGAAAATGATTGAGAACTAGAAATTTAAATTGGGAAAAAGTACTTGAGTATTTAAGAGATATTCGGTATTCTCCATCTGGCTTAAAGATCGTGAAGAGTCTCCTGAAAAATTCTTAAGGCCCGTTTACACAATTTTTGCAGCGCGATTGTCGCGCGACCACAATCGCCTTAGTTTCGAACATGCTTGAAATTTAGCTGCAACTCGTGGCGATTTTTGATCGCCGCGACAATCGCAGGGCTGTTTACACGTACGATTTGAGGTGCGAGAGAATAAAGTGGCGATTGTCGCGCGACAAAAAAATACTTTAGAACCTATTCCTCTCCGTGTTTTAAAAAAAATTATTTCTGAATGTTGTTTAACTTTCCTGGTAACCAGTTGTGACTTACATCTGGCTGGGACATAAAAACAGATATATTTCTCCCAGGAACCCTTCGGCTCCTCTTGAGACATTATTTTACTATCGAACCTTGTTTATTGTGTGAATTTTCAAAGTTTTCTGAACATTCGATCGATGTCTTTTGGCAAACTCGTCATGGCATTCTCTCTGATCAGACATTTCTTTCTTTCATCCAAGTTTTAGTAGATCAAAGACATTAGATATAATTAAATGAATACATTACCTTGAATTTCCTTTTCACTGCTCAAACACAGGTCCGACAAGGATATCTGAATTCAGTGTTTGGTCCTCGAGCTCTTCGGCCTAGCACTTGATGAACAACTCGAAGCAAGTGGCTGTTTAGTAAGTTTCCRTAAAATTTATAGCATTTATTGTTTCTCGTGGGCGTTTGTGTATAACATTCGAAATTGAGAGTGAATGTCACGAAAAAAGGGTATATTTTGAAATATATTATAAAATGGGATAGAGAGAATCAATATTAAATAGTTTCTATCAAAGACTTAATAGACCTAATCGGCTAACGGCGTTGCTATGTACGTTGCTACCCAATTCAAATCATGTGGGAAAAAGAATTTTGTTTCTAAGAATTCAACTGTGAAATGAAAATACAACGAACAATGAAACTTACTCCCAGGTGGTTTGAATTGGGTTGAAGCCGATTCGATCTATTAGTTTCCCTGCTAGCAGAACTCGTTWCGGCCTTGGAAACTTCAACGTGTGAGAGAATCTCTGCTAACACAGATTTTAAAAATATCAATCATTTCTTAATTTGCAAGAAGGAAAGAAGRGCAAGAGAGGGATATGTTTTAATTTTGAATAAAATATCCTATCGTTTATCACATGAGATTTCCAAAACAAACCAAAACATAATTAAATACATAAAGTGTTTTATTTTGGGAATATAATGGCAAATGGACACCTTAAATAGCTTGGTTAATAATCTGGTTTTATACAGGGACATGATRAAAATAGGTTTAAATGTATGGTAATCATTTGTAATTTGAAAAGACAGCAAGAGTTCAAGAAGTTTTAAGGACGAATGAAAAGCAAACGAAATCTCAAGGATTCAGAAAAAAAGAATTGAACTAACATGTATTTAAAGAAATTAAAAAAAATAAGAATGAAAGCGTAAAGAAAAGAAAGGAAAGTGGTCAGGAGTTTTATTTAAGGAAATTCATAACAATAGTTCAAAAATCAACGAAGGAAAAAAGTGTTTTTGCGGTGGGCGGGGAGCCAATTTCTCTTAACAAATATCACTATATCGGTGTTTTATTGYAGCTATTAAAATCTAATTAAGTTCTAATTATTTCTTTCAAAGGCAGAAGAAAGTATACACGAAAACGCCATCTCATTTAATTCCCTCGATCAGCAGCAGAAGACAGACTCAAAGTCCATCTTCCTGATGTAAATAAAATAATGAATAGCCGTATCTACGCCACAACCATCAAAACTGCAATTATACTGACATCCATCAAAGAAAATAAGAAGTTTTTGATAACACGTTAATCCTGGGACAGGGAAACGGTATTTCTACTATTTCTACTGTATTTCTTATGAAAATATTACGCTGTCCAAGACACAAAAAAGTCGTTCTTTTATCTAAATTGTAGAGCTTGCTTAAGACAATTTCGGGTGAAATGTATACCTGTTTAAGACAGCAAGGCCAAAAACCATACCCTGGCCAACGGCACGTCCCCATGTAGCAAATATATGGGAGTCTCATAAACCTTCTCCACTTTATAGAAATGAAAGAAAAGTTCTCCACTTTAGTTGGCAGTTTTCGGGTACATAACTCTCTTTGTTGGCGATCACAATCTTGGCAGTATTTATACATTTGACAAAGATARAGATGTTAAAATGTTTTCGTACGTAGGATTCATTATTGAATTAATACTTAGTTTTTTWAAAAAGTTTGAAAAAGTCAAGATGGCGGATCCTAAGATGGYAGATATTCTTCTTAAAATTGATTRTTTTAAWTTKTTTTACTCCAAAACTCCTCAAATTGTAAAGTTTACCATAAAATACTGATATTGAGTTCAATATGTTTTAATTTTGATCACCTTTAASCCATTATCAACTGGTTACAAGTTATAATCCCCTTATTACCCCCCGGGTTTTTTAGTAGTGGTTTCAAATGCATGTTATACAGTCCTACTGCCCGGATCCTGGTTCCGTTGGACAAAGTGTGCTCAGCTCAGTACAAATGCTTGATCGCGACCCATACCGTGCACAAAACGCATTGTTCCAACTGTTGCACAATTGAAACACTCTCTCGGTGCATCCCCTTTTGTAAGCTATTTGTACACGACATGCGATATTGTAGCATCTTCTTCTTCTTCTTCTTCTTCTTCTTCTTCTCAAGTAATTCCATCGGCTAGTCCACCCGTGCCTGGGAACTAACTCCATATCTTCAGCAAGTTCGGTGTTTCCATTTAAATCGGCACCATCGCTCTTTCCCTTTTCTTTCGGTTTCGCCTCCAAAAACACGACGCCAAAAATCACGATGAATAGTAAAATCAAGATCTTAACATTCATTATTGAAATGATCGATCGATAGCTGCTGCAAAGAGAATATATTTTAATCAGCTTAAAAAGCTTCTATATCAGCGAAAGTTGCAAGTGTGTAAATTAAAACCTTATTTTATTTATTATTTTTGTATCGTCATTCCAAATAAGACTATTGATAGCTTTGACTAGTCGTAACAACTTATTTGCTTTTTATAGTTCTATTTGTTAGGCACAGTACCTAAATTACACTTTTATTTATTTATAACTTTCAATCATTTACCTTTATTTTGTAAACTACATGTTACGAATAAAAATATTGTTGTTGTTGTTGTTTTCTGTTCTCCTCGATCTGTTCTTTTCATTTCGATTCGTTTCGCTTCCTTTTTCGTCTCTTTTTTCTATCCTTTTTTCTATCCTTGTCGTCTCTCTATTCTCTTTTTTCTATCCTTCTAACTTTTCTCTTCTCTTTCTTTTTTTCTTTTTCTTTCTGTGTTTCTTGTTCTAATAAAGTCTCTGCTGCACATTGCAATTGGGTTCAAAAGTTTAGGTAATAATATACGTACGTACCTTCGGCTTGTTCAGGTTTAGTTGTTGCACAGTCCAAGACTTGTAAGCAACTCAACACTACTTGCCATTGTGAGTCTTTTAGAGTGAAGGCATTGAACCCGTGAAATAAAAGTAAATACTTAAACTGTAATAGTCAAATAGACACAAAAGAAAACAATGGAATTATCAAGTAATAACATGTAATAGTGAAATATGTATTTCACGGGTTTATTGACTTCACTCTATGTACTTTAAAATTAATTAGAGCAAAGTTATTTTCTAAGAAATAAAACAGTATGAAATCAAAATTATATTAAAAAAACACACGCACATTCATAATATTATGGTAATGATTGTATTGTATTGTACTGGGACTAAACTTTAGGCAGTCGAAAAATCTCAAAGTGCAATACAAACTTGTCGAACAGTATTATTGCATTTCCCTAATTGTTGTATATTAGTTGAAATTACAGTTGTTCCGAAGATTTTTGACCAAAAAAAAGAATCGACGTTAAGTTCTGGGACTAAACGATGCCTCGTATCGTTAAAAACATTGTTTATAGTTATTGAGGAAGAAAAGAACGAAACAGGAGGAAAGAATAGAAAAGAAAAAGAGAAAAAAAGAGATGGAAGTGCAATATTGTAAAGCAACGTGCTGTATAAGGAATGGCTTTGTTTTTTTTGTTGTTGTTTTTTTTACGTAAAAATAAAAATTTTTGTAACAAGCTAATAGCCATCCGTTGGTAATAATATTAAAAAATAAATAAATTGAGATTATTGCCAATTTTCACATAGTAAGCCACAAAATGTCTCAACATGCCCACTCCAAACAAAACATTGATATTACACTAATATCACATTAAATTATAATTACACATTTTCTTACAATTACACAAGATTCAATTTAAAAGAGATTTTATTACCGTGTCCAGGGCGAAGGCCTGCGGCACGGTTATAAAATGCAGCTGAACTTTTTTTTCCACGTCGTAGTTTAGCAATGACATTTTTTTTCTTTCTTTCTTTCTTTCTTTAACTTTAAAATATATACTCGTTCTTTTTTTCTAAAATCATTTTATGCAAAGCAAACTTTCATCTTATAAATTCTTTCAGGCTAATGCGAATGCAATCTGAATGCTAAATTTTCGCTGCAATGCTAAAAATGTTGAAAAAATTGTGAAAAGATCATGTGCAAAATCTATCAAATCGATCGCGGCGCTGGTAAAAGTATGTATTAGCGTAGCCTGGACACGGTATATTCCACGAAGTGGTTCTTGTTGATTCTATAACACCGTCATGTTTTAACAAAGATACTTGTCTTTTAAATTTCGTTTTGCACAGTAGAAAYTATCAGTCATTAGTATAAACATACTAATGGTCTATCACTCATACTGCGATGTGATTGGCTACTCTACTAATGGTCTAATTTGTGATAGACCAGTCGCGGGAAAATCAAAATGGCGGCATCTCATTAATAAATTATTTTAAGRAYWTYTCAATKTKYWTTCATTATTTGACCGATTAGTATGTTTATACTAAAACAATTAGACCTCTCGGCATCGTGGACTACGAGCTAAGAGCCCATTCGGCCTCGCGGACTCGGCCTCATGGGCTATTAGCTCGTAGTCCACTCGACCTCGAGGTCTAATTGTTAATTATCCGTGTTTTATAGACGGAATTTTTATAACAGTCATTAGCGCTCTCCCAGYTTGTGTCTCAAGTCAATTTTCTGAAAATTGCCGTAAAAATACATGTTTTTAATTGTCTTTTATTAATGACTTTTATTGATGTTTTTCAATTTTCTCAAAGTAATCCATTTTTTCCAAGTGTATCAAATTCTAAAAATATAATTAAACTGGCTATTTTTTTTTTTTTCATTCTACTATTAAAAACAACTGCGAAAGGCATATTTAACTAATTCTATCGATGTGTCACCACCAAACGGCTACTGTGCTTGAAGACAGTCTCTAAAAAATTCCGGCAATAGCACCTTTGCAGATGGGGGTCACGTGACCACACCTACCTTAAATCAATATCGATAATGACAAAATGATGTTCAGAAATGGAAAGAGCAGTTTTTTGTTGGCAAAATGTCAAAGTCTCAAGTCCAAATACTTAAAAAATGACAGCAAATGCAAAATATTGATTTTGTTAAAGAAACGTATGGGAAAATAGAACTGGAGAGCAAGCCTTGCTCTCCAAAGTTGGATTAATGGCATGAAGGTCTAAATTTGAAGCCAATATTTTTAAAAGGGACTGCGCATTATTTGTCAGGGTGTGTTGAGAAATGAGCCAAAAGATTCAAAAAAGT